CTTCTCCCCTTGTGGCCCGTGCTCAGCAGCAGGTAGCGTATCACAGGCTCTTTTCACGTCAGTCATCAGATGAACCAGCAGTAGGTGCTCAATAAATGCTGCCAATAATTCCTCAAACAAACATTTCCTACATGCCGCCGTGTGCCAGGGTCTTTGCATGGGGCCCCTGCTCCTGCACACTAGAGGTCGGGCCCGGTGGGGAGACCGGTAAGGAAAGAAGCCCCACATAGTTAGGAAATGGTGGGAATCCTCCCAAAATCCAAGTTCCCAGACACCAGCCAGGGGCAGTCTTGCAGACAAGCCCTTTCAGAGATAGCACTCTCGGGCCTGCCATGCAAACTGTATTTACAGAAACTTCCCCAAGCAGGGCTCAGACTCCAAAGCTAGCTACGCCAGAATGGAGGCGGGAAAACAACAGGAGTTTCCCAAGAGCTTGAGGAGCAGTGGTAGGGCTTCGAGTGAGGGTCTGAGGTGTAGCTCCCTCTGCGTGGTGACAGAATCTGTCTTCTCTTTTTGCCCTCTCCAGTGTGGGGCTGCCTTCCAGGAGGATGACGTCATCGTGCTCAATGGCGCCAAGGAGGATGTGGAAGTGCTGAAGAGCAGGATGGAGGGGAGACGGCTGAAAGCGAAGCTGGGAAAGGTAACGGCTGTCCTTGTGTCTGTCCCCGACCTTCCCGGAGTCTGGAGGGAAAGGAAGCTCTCCAGGTCCTACCCAGCCTCTTCCTCGGCCCCAGAGCCAGTTGCAAACCATCAGGCTGCGTTGCTGGTGGCTGCTTCGGGGTTTGCAGCGGTTGAGGCGGTTTTTACAACCTAGAAGCGTCTGGGCTCTGGAAAGATTCCCGTCGCAGCCTGGCCGCATCCTCACTCTAATGGGCATGGTGTTTCTGCTGTTTGGTGCTCAGCCCCTTCACCAGTGAAGTGGGGGTAGTGACAGCAGCTGTGCAGCCTGGGGGTTGTCAGGAGGGTTAAAAAGATCATGCCCGTGAGGGCTGCACAGAGCCCAGCCCGAGTGAGTCCGCTGGAAAGGCAGCCACCACAATTGCTGCGTGTTCCTGATTTTATTTATTTACTTAATTTTTTTCTAGTGAGGAAGATTAGCCCTGAGCTAACATCCGATGCCAATCCTCCTCTTTTTGCTGAGGAAGACTGGCCCTGGGCTAACATCTGTGCCTGTCTTCCTCCACTTTATATGGGACGCTGCCACAGCATGGCTTGACAAGCGGTGCATCCGTGCGCGCCCGGGATCCAAACCTGTGAACCCCGGGCCGCCAAAGCGGAGCGCGTGCACTTAACTGCTACGCCACTGGACCAGCCCCTACATGTCCCTGATTTTAAAAGAGTACATATGCGGTGTTCATAACTTGAAAACAAAGGAAAAGTGGAAAGTCACCGTCACCCCAGCACATCTGAAGAGCCCAGGCTGCCCAGATGAGTGTCCCAGGAGTCACCTGGAGGTCTGGGTGGCCCAGGAGCCTGCCTTTGGCATCCACTCCTGGGGAATGCGGAGGCAGCCCCTCCAAGCACTTCGAGTAGCAAGGAACCAAGCAGCCTTCCCACAAACGGGAGCTGCCTCCCCGGCCTTCCTGAGCCCTCCCACGGGGCAGTCTGGTTATGAGTGGTGCCTTGGCTTCCTGAAGGGAGGCCAGTGAGACATGCTGATGCCTAGGCAGATGTCAGATGTGAAGGCTTTGTTCTGTGGCCCTAGGTTTATAATCACATTCCGTAAGCAGTAGAATCGTTGCTAAATGATCTGACCTAACAAGCAAGCTCAAAACAGTTTATCAGCTAAGAAATCATTCAGTGTGCCATCGATTCAGATCCAGCAGTAAATTATTATTTCTTAAGTATTTACGGGTGATAGCTATGTAATGCAGATCTTTTGTGAATGGCAAATTTTTCATTCTTTAAAAAAAAATTTAGGTTCAGGGTAAAAGTGGGAGAAACTTTATGTGATCAGAACTAAGGCAGGGCCGGCCCTGTGGCTTGGTGGTTAAGTGCACGCGCTGCGATGCTGGTGGCCCGGGTTCGGATCCCAGGCGCACACCAACACACCGCTTCTCCGGCCACGCTGAGGCCGCGTCCCACATACAGCAACTGGAAGGATGTGCAGCTATGACGTACAGCTATCTACTGGGGCTTTGGGGGAATAAATAAATAAATAAAATTATAAAAAAGAATGCTTGAAGTGTTAGAAAATGAGCTTCATTATCTTGATGACATAAAATTGTGAAAAAAATAGCCTGCCTCTATGTGGCATACATTTGCCAGTGATGTGATGATTAGAGATTCTTCAGAGTTTCTTTCTTTAATCATAATCGAGGAAAGGGGGGGATCATATCCCCCTGGAATCACACGTAGTTCACAGTCGTGAGGCTTAAAAAGCTGATGCTTGAGGCTGTGGTAGCAGCGTTGTTATTGTGTATGGACCCAGGATCCTCAGAGAGAGCCAAATCCACGTGCACTTCCTCCTCCTGTCGTTTTATTTAGGTAGAAAATAATGTGTGGGGCCGGCCCCGTGGCTTAGCGGTTAAGTGCGTGCGCTCCACTGCTGGCGGCCGGGGTTCGGATCCCGGGCGCGCACCAACGCACCGCTTCTCCGGCCATGCTGAGGCTGCGTCCCACATACAGCAACTAGAAGGATGTGCAGCTATGACATACAACTATCTACTGGGGCTTTGGGGGAAAAAAAGGAGAAGGATTGGCAATAGATGTTAGCTCAGGGCCGGTCTTCCTCAGCAAAAAAAAAAAAAAAGAAAGAAAGAAAAAAAGAAAATAATGTATGTAAATGGTTCTGTAGTACAAGAAATTGTGCCCAAACTTTGTAATCAAATGCCAATAGAAGTGTTCTGTGAAGCAGTGTTATAAGATGTTAATACAGCGTGCTTGAGAACTATTTAAAGAGCCACTTGGTCATTTAAGGGGCAAGTTCAGGTTTAAAAGGGAATATATATAAATGCATTTATTCTAGGTCAGTTTTCTATATTACTATGATTTCATTACAATATGAGCAAAAAAGAGAAAGTAAAAAGCTTGAGATAATTTTGACAAAGAACAGTGACCGGAAAGGACCTGCTTGTTCTTCATGCTACCATTGATCCAGCTCAGTTTTTAAAAAGCACAAAAATATTTTAAAGGAAGCTCCTGGAGATGTTCATACGGTCGTTAACCGTTTACTTCAGTGGGTTGTCTCCTCTGTCCCAGGCTTCCTGCCCGGTTGTGCAAAGCCCAGTGGAACTAACATTCCCCTCTCCGAAGAATGCTCCCCGGAGCTCCTGGGAATGCCTCTTAGATACTGCTACCAGGGTACCAAAATATTTCCCAAATATCCCCGCAGCTGGGAACAGGACAGAGCATTTCCCCCCTCGCTCCTTACTGCCCCTGCTTTTCACATAACCTCAGCTGTGAACACAGGGCTTCGAAGTCAACAGTTGTCTCTGTTTTTAAAGGACTAGGTATTACCCTTTCAGATTTGAATGCATGCCTTGCATGTGCGAAATGAACGGAAGTTTTTATGTTTTATACAAGCGTTATAATCACATTGCATGTATCTATTACAAGTTCAAGGCCACTGCTGGAGAAATTTTTTTCCCTGTTTTCTAGAGATGGGAGCCTTCTGAAATAATTAGGCTGGTATCTTCAGTGCCACCTTTTGGAGACTTAGGAAAATGGCATTTTTAAAGTAAATTGAATGAACGTACTGTAGTCCTATTTGTCTGTTCTGTGATTGAATCAGTTCTGACACAGCTGTGTGATTTTAGAATGGTTAGTTTTATTTCTTAAATTTTTACTGACCGATGTAACTGTTATGAGTGACATAATTCTAGTTCCTAAAAATCTAACAGGAATAATCCAGAGTTTAGGAGCATTGGCTGAAGTGTCCTTTAGTATAGGCCTCAAAGCCTTATAGTTAAATAAACAAATATCAAAGCAGTTTGACAACTTTGAAAAAATCTTACTGGAATGG